CATGGTGACCTGCATCCTGGAAATATTCTTCGATTAAATGAAGATGAAGCTACAATCTGTGATTTGGGTGCTGCAATTAGACAAAATTCTACTAAGGAAAAACGTCAAATGTCTGGCGTGATGCCATTCGTTGCACCCGAGATTTTCCGAGGAGCGGAATTCAGTGTGGCATCAGATATCTATGCATTAGGAATGGTTATGTGGGAATGGTGTGTTGGTAAACCTCCATTCGGTAAACGTCCTTTCGATGGTGAATTAGCTTTAGCTATATGCGATGGATTGCGACCAGAATTACCGGAAGGATTACCTAACTTCTACCGAGACTTGATTGAACGCTGTTGGCATCAAAATCCCTCACAAAGACCAACTTCTGAAGAGATGTGTGATATCGTTAAAAAATGGCATCTTTACAAAACTGCAGAAATGGAAAAACAAATATATGACGCCGAGGAGTTTAGAATTGCAAACGCATCCAATTATGATTCCGAAGAAAGTTATATGACGCATCCCTTGGCTGTTTATACGAGCAAAATTTTACCGAATGTGAATCAAGAAGGTTTGTATTTTTCAATGTTTGTATGATCTAGTCCTATCAAGCTAATAAATTATGTCAAGTAGTTTGGATAAACAAAGGAAAAGAAGATATATCAGAATATCAAACACTTCAATATGATTGCGATCTCGGAAATCCCGATGATGAATAATAACGACTTGTAAAATCGAGGACCGGTTTAACTTTATGTTTATTGGACCATAGCGTTCCGCCACAAGAGCGAAGCCGCATTTAATTTTGTTCAAATTGTGGTTCAAGTCATAGTTTGGAGTCATGGTCTATTAACTAACGAATGTATCACATTTTTCGTATTTCGTATTTTCATGTAGATTTTTTTTAATATATTTATTACATCTGCAGCTTCTGAATGTAACTGGTCAGCTTTGCAAAAATTCATAGCAAAAAAAAATTGGTTAAGTAGTAAGCACGTTTTTAATTAGTTTATATTTATAGTAATTATAAATTACAAACTCCTCCAGATAATAAAAGAAAAATTGTCAAAAAAAGCATTAATGATGAGAGTGATGAAAGTGAATATCAAGATAATAATGAAAGTGAATATCTGGATGGTAATGATAATGAACAATTTAATATATCAGAAAATAGTGATGATATATTAGAAACATCAAGTGATAGTGATAATTATTGATAAATGTATATAATAGTTATAGAAAATACATGTAGATCATTATGCGCAAAGTACGCATAGTGATGTAATATGCTCATCTCTAGTAACGTGTTGCCTGACACAAGATCTGTATCATAACTTCGCTCCGCTCACTGAATTTTGTTCATCAGTCTCAATATCTGCTACTTTAAAAGATGACTTTCCATTAAATACTACTGAACTTATATTAGGGATTATTCAGAAAATTTTATAAAATGTGATTGGATCGATATATAAACATAAAAGTTTGAAATGCGAATATTGAGCCTGTGCATGGTTCGTGATCACATACACAAAATAAAAAAATGCGAAAATGGAAGTCAATAATAACATGCCAAGAGACAATATTACATATAATCTCTGTCTTACCGCTAATCTTAACCCAACCTTATGATCTGCTAGTTTAAAACTATGTTCTACTGAGCTACATTAAATGAGATACGGGTCTATTTTGTCACATGATTATTTGCTAGTTTAAAACTATGTTCAACGTGAGCTACATTTAAATGAGATACGGGTCTATTTTGTCACATGATTAAAAGGATCAAAATTAGGACCGGATTGGGATCATCCTATTAAAATAGAACTCTGAATATTTCAATCAAATAAAATTGAATGATATCAATAATCAATTGGAACACTGGATGGTAAGGCATTTTAATATTGAATTCGAATACAATCCGGTTTATATTCAAATTTTTAATATTAAAAATTAATCCAAACTCTTGTAAGATGTTCTCAGTTTTGTAAGAAAAATCACCATTTTAAATAAATAGCAATTTTTGGATGCGATTCTCTCGAAGTGAAGAATTAAATGGTATCGAAATCATTCGATTTATTCCCAGAAATAGGATGTTGGATTGCATGTGGTTGTGCTCGTGATATATACGTACTCGGAATTGTTCACGAATTCTGATTTAGTAACAGTCTAATTAACTACGAGTTCTTATCAGGTAACAATAAAAAACAATTTGTGTGAAAGATTGCATACCACACACCGCGCTCCGTGAAAGAAAACCTTGCATTTCTCGCAGTTCATCAATGGCTAATTCCGAGTACAACTAAATCGGCTATATCGGCATTATAGAACAGTATGAAAATATGTAGCGGTAGATAAACTCATGATTTGTCATTTGTCACTTGAATTATAATAAAGATGTCAAAACCGAATATACATACATATGTACAGTTAAAGTATCTTCATATACAATAATGATTTATAAATTGCGTTCAGTTATACAATTTTATTTTTTCGTTTGTGATCAATCATGCCAAAACAAATTATTTCTATACGTTAGTATTTTTTTGAAATATTGATTTAATTGATTTGTTTAAGATATATATGGTATTTGGGTAAAGCTTTTGCGCTTAAAAAGATTTTTCATTTAACTTAGCGTTAGATTGGTCGTTTATATTCTGCGCATTAGAAACGACATCAGGAATTTCAATGGTTTGATAATAAAATAATTTGAAGCTCCCTTACTCCCAATTTACACAAATAAAATTAAAAATACATGTAAACATACGATAGGAAATATTATTCAAACTACCATCCTTGTGAAATGATCACAGCATATTGTATTCAACGAGGTCGATCAAACGGTTTCTTTATTTATCGCGCAATAAAGCCCACGATGTGTTCAGTCAATGAGACGTTAACAAATCTCGTACATGATAATGCTATAACGATTTTTAATTATTGTAATGTACGTTAATTAATGTTAAATTATTTTCGGCGAAATTTTTTTCCAGAAAACAAATCTTCAATTATTGAATACAATGGGTTTTTTGACATCTGCTAATCGGTGTATGATAGGTTATGTGCTGTGTAAAGCTGCAACCTTATCATTACCATTATTATTTTATCATTGTCATTATTTGTTAACACACACATTGCATTTTGCAACAAAATTAAAGATGATATATTAATTCCAACCACGAAAAAATGACTCAGGATCAAAAATTAAGTTATTTATGAATTATCAACTTTTCACAAAGAGAAATTTGTGCATCGCGACTTTCATCCTGGAAAATATATTAATATTAATATTAGACATACCTCAAATTGCTGAATTTGGATTTAGCATTCCAACAAATATAGAAAGAAATTTGTGGAGCAACTTCCTTAATGAATCCTAAGATGCTAAATGGAAAGCCACCAACGCTGCAGATGTTTATAGTTTTGGGATGATATACATCTCGTATTAGACATCTATAAAGGAAAAGACAAACAAAAAACTTGAGAAACTATCAATTAGGATGAGTGCAGGAATATTAACCTGTTATCCACGTCTTTATCTAATGACAACACACATAATAGAAAGATACCAAAATGATGATTTACATTTGTATGCGAATGGAAAAACAAATGACGGTGACACTTGGTTTGGTGTTTTTTACAGTTGTATTAAATTGGACACAAAAAAGCTGAATGCCTAAACTTTTACTCTATAAAGGGTAAACATTGTACCGGTTACATGTAATTTTTATTATATCCAATCATTTTGTGCGATTTAGGGACTGTAAAATGCGGGTTTTAATCGAAATGTAAAATCAGTTGAGACTCAAAGGATGTGATCTGGATGTCATAATGATGGATAAATATAAAACTAAGGATTTATTCTTCTTAATGTAAGATTTTTTATGTATTTTATTCCATCTCCCTTTGTTAATTATTCAAGATGAATGATTCTAGATCGTGTAAAACAAATTTTGACAATGCCAATGGCATCATCACTTATTATTGATAATAACGATAATACAATAAACATAACTTTCGAATACCCCGAATGCAAGCATGAATTTACCACAAATAAATCAATGAACAAAAATCGTAATAATAGCCACACGTATAAAAAACCAGCAAAACATTTTTTGTTATGGCGAAGTTGTTTGTCAAGAGCGGTCTCAGGAAAGTTATATTGTATCAAACAATCGTGCCCGTTATCTTATTTAAAAGCGAAACATAAGATTATTTACATATCGCAACTCAGCTCATATTTAAGCAAACACCATAAAAGCAAATTATCTCATATTTTTTCTCCAGTTATAAAAAAATATGAAAAGTAAATGTCAACTAATGTGTCATAGCTTTTTCATTTATTACGCGTCCTTTAATTAAAATTAATTGATTTATGTCAACAATAGAAACGAATGATTAAATCTGGTGTTTACTCTGAATCTGCTTCAGCTCCCAGTTATGGTGTTGGATATGACTCAACAATTAATTATGTACCAACTTTGGCTCCCCTTTATGGCGCTGGTTATGGCCTGTTTACGACTTATAAACCAACTTTATTTTCGATCAACAGTTTTAGTTCTGTCTCTGTTATTAACTACGAACGAACACCAATTCCCTTTCATGGTGTTGGTCATTGTCTGGCTACAGAACCAATTTTAGTTCCAATTGAAAATATTGTTCTGACTCAGTAACTGATTATGAACAAGCTTCAGAACAAAATTATGGTGTTGGATACGACACAGCAATTAATTATGTACCAACTTTGACTCCCCTTTATGGTTCTGATTACGGCCTCGCTACGAATTATGAACCAACTTCATTTCCAATTGATAATTTTAGTTCTGACTCGGTTATTAATTACGAAACACCAATTCCCTTTCATGATGTTGAACACAGTCTGATTACAAAATATGAACCGATTTTAGTTCCAATTGATAGTATTTGCTCCGACTTGACCACTAATTATAAACAAACTTCAGTACCCATTCGTGGAGTTAATTACGACTCGACCACTAATTATAAACAAACCTCAGTACCCATTCGTGGAGTTAGTTACGACTCGATTATCAACTGTGTATCAACTTCAGTTCCTCTTTATGGTGTTGGTTACGGCCTGGATACAATTTAAGAACCAACTTTAATTCCAATTGACATTGGTTCCGACATGGCTACTAATTACGAATGAACACCAGTTCCAGCTCAGCTATAAATTCCAATTCATGGTTTTAGTCACGATTTGACCATTAATTATGTACCATCTGTATTGGTATGGTTATAAATTATGATCCAATTTCATAGTGTTGGTTCCAACTCAACTGTCAATTATGAACCAACTTAGTTCCCATGCATGATGCTGCTTCTGAGTCAGCAACAAATTATACGCGATACAGGAAGCAATCTCAAATACTTGAATAATATTTTATACACTCTCAGGAAATTTACCTTTCTAGCTAATTTTACTCGAGATTTAATTAATTTAATAATAATATATTTTTTATTTTTTGTCATTTCAAATTTCTTTATCATCTTGATTTTACCTTTGAAACAAAATATCGAAATGTAAACATTTTATGATTATTCTTCTAGTTTAAGTACTTGTATTTTACCATTTTTACAAACTTATTCACATCTTGCTGAATACTTTATAATTTTTTCAAAAATTATATAGACCCAAAATTCGAATTTTTTATTTATTTTTTTACTATTTATCTTTATTATAAACTTTAACTTAAGCATCAAGTCAATTTTGCAATGTTATCGTTATATCTAATGCATGAGATTTTTCATAATCCAAATTCAATACATACGTACTTTATACATTATCCGATGTGTTGACAAACTTTGTTTCGGAAAAAATATATAAGTACGTAATATTTAACTTTTTATTTATAAAAATTATACATATACGAACTAGAAGTTGTTTCGTTTATTCACTTTATATTTCTCCTTACTATGAGGTGTAACTTTATTGTTCAATAACTGATAAAAAAAATCAAAAAAAGCATAAAATAAAATCGTAATACATGTGTTTTATACTAAACATCTGTGCTTTTGAATGAACACTATGAAAATGAACTGTTTAATGTTTTCACTTAAATACAAAAAAAAAGCTAAACTTCACATATCTCATTTATATATAATTTTTAAAGTTTATTACGTCATTTGGATCTAGAACACATGTATTAACTTCAAGTTAGATTTGCATTACAACTCTCCGGATTATTAATTCGAGAATTACCTCTATTTAAACACTATAAAAATATAATTATAAATTTTTATCAGAATAAGTGTTTTTGTACCCTGAACTTGTTCTTATAGAGATGTGACTTATTTGAAAAAAAATTTATATCGATACATTTATTTTGCGAAGATGAAGATATCGATAGACTAATGTTTCGAATCATATAGAAGCTACATCTAAATACGTATCTGTATTGATATTGACATTGATACAAATATCCGTTCAAATTCAACTTAGATTTCTCTCATTGATAATGATGAAATTTCAATGTTTAGTATACATTCGATATTTGACAACGCTGGATTTCAAACGTCATAAACATCCTAATAAGGGATATGTCGAAAAAATCAATATACAAGTACTGTAGCTTTAATAACTTAAAAAATTTATTCTGCAATCCGTACCGAAAGCAATGCGGACAGTTTTTTAAAATAAAAATTTGAACAATAATCATTATCTTTAGAATGCTTATGAGCACGGCTTTATATCCTTAGAGCATTTGTATTCAGCATGCCTTCTCTTTGAATCATTGCAAATTTGAAAACAACTGTGATAACCTAAGAACTACCTTCCCAAAAATGTTACTGTTAATTCTTTTTTATTAGTATGACAAAAAAATTTTCAGTAATAATCTTTAAATAATAAAATGGGTCTGCTACGAGATTATCGACAAAATATACCTCGAATGGTCGAAAATCTAACGAACGAAATTCTGAAAGTACGAGATCCCGAAAGAACGATGAAATCCTAAACGAACGACGACCGAATTCATGGAATGCCAAAAATAGTGATCATCAAACGTGAAGCAAAATGTTTGATTTTTCACCATGACTCTAGCAGTGCATACACGCACTTCGTTGGTTTTTTTACCTTAATGGGCATACATATCCTTCCTAATTTGAATACATATCAAAATCAATTGACGCAATAGATTTAAATTATGACATTCATTTATGAACCGTCTTCTCAAAAAGGAAAGGAAATGACAAAATCAACTAGTGATCCTAACCGGTTGGCCTTAACCGGTTAACTGCTTAAAAAGTTTCAACCGGTTAGGGTTTTTCTCAAAGCGGTTAAATACTACCTTCCATATTTAGAAATAAGATAATCACTCATTGCGTCATGCAAGAAAAATCTGTCACGCCAATAATGTCTTGGAAAAATGCCCGCAAAAAGAATAGCCAGTCTTTGAAGTTCTTAAGCTACGAACCACATAGCGAAAAATTTCAAAAAAATGTCAGGAATAGTACAAGTATATTTGACGAAGTTATTGGGACAGTTCAAAGACAAGATTCTTCCTCTATATCGGAAATTATAACGCTTCTTCGTCAGGCTGAAAACTCTGTTTTTTCATCATTAGCTAATGACGAACAACAATCACCTATTACAACTACTTTCTTCCAGAAGATGAACACATTCTTGATGTTTTATCTGACCACTTACCACCAACTAGTTCTATTTCCTTACCCACGCCTCTTGGCATTGCTAGGCTTATGGATAGATACGATATTTGGTCTACACAAGAAAATTCTGATGATGAGAGCATTCAAAGTGAAGAACAGAACACTGACATAGAGACAAATGTTATACATAAATGATCACCTTCTGCTGTGACTACTAGTTCTCGGATTGTTAATCGATGCAAACCTACAAAAAAAAGAAAAAAACAAGAATTGATGCCAGTTGGATTTGTCAGTGGGTTTAAACGTGATAAAAATGACGTCATTGGAATGTGCAGTATTACCAAATGTTCATAATTTACTTGCTTAATATCTCAACATCATCCTATACCTACCATCTTACAAAGACACACTTAATTACAAAATCTCTTCAGCCAGAAACCAAACTGTAATCACAATCACCTCAACAACAAATGCTTCAACAATAATGAGAAAATATCAAGCCTCTTTCTGCAACAAAATGAGAATATATTAATTTTCAACTGCTTGATTTTATTGTGGGTGACTTAAAATCATTTATATTATTGGAAAACACAAATTTAAAAAATTTTGTCATTCACTACATCCTAGTTACAAGTCATCTTGTAATATAATAATAAAATTACTCATTGGACAAAGTGTTGAGTTTCAAGGCAAGATCTAGTCAAACTACTTGATCAACTATGGAAAAGCCAGTTTTATTACAGATCTTTGGACTAATTTCTACTAATACCATTTATTAGTTAATCAAAAATTTTCAATTGTATGAAATCTTACTTATAATTGAGAAAATGTCATATGATTATTCAGGAGAAAATATTGCTACAAAACTTTTTGATATATTTGACAGATGGAAAATTGACTTGTATAATAAAATTATTGGAGAAGTTATAGATAATAATGCATAAATCTTAAAAACACTTCAAAATATGAATGTAAAATCTATGATTTATTCTGCACATATTATTCATCTTGTAATTTTCAATAGTTTAAATCATTGTTCTGAGATTAAAAATCTTATTATCCATATAAAAGCTCTCAATTTATTTCTTGTCAATTATAATAAAGATTGAACTCAGTTTTTCAAATTCAAAAAGCTTTAAATCTGGTAAAAGAGTCTCTTGCACCAATTCAGGTATCACTATCTGATGAAATTCAACTTTAAAAGTTTTGGAAAGACTTATCTATCTCAAATATTTAATTAAAGTATTATATAAAGCAATATAACATAAAGATAATTAACAAATTCATGAAAATGACAACAAATTAGCTACTTTATTCTTGACTTCTAATGATTAGAAAAAAGTAGAATTTATTCATCTATTATATCCATTTGAAAAGCAACAAGATTTTTAAGTAACAGTATATATTCTACTTTATCTGCAATGTATCTAATGATTGAAGATCTTTTTGTTCATCTTTAGTATATTTCTTATTTAAATATTAATGAACTAATATTTCAAGAAGTTCATAATAAAATTCTCAAATCTATGAAATTATAATGAAAAGATCCAAAAGAATTAAGCCTTTTGACATCTTTATTAGATCCCAGATTCAAGTTACTAGCTTTCATATTAAGAGAGAAAAGAGAATAAATATTATCCTTATTAAAATCCTTTATTCTTCTTCTTGCATAATGATGACTCTTCTGAAATGTTAGATTTTTTTTATTTCATTTAATATTCTAAGCATGACAAATTTATCACAACCATCTTATACAGAATTGAATCTTTATCTCAACCTTTCTGACTTGTTACCTTCTGAAAAAAATTGTTCAATTACATGATGAAAAACTCATTCTACTACCTTTTCTTTTCTTGCACAACAAGCTCATTATTATCTTTCAATTCCAGCAAGTTCTATTCCTTCTGAATATCTTTTTTCAATAGCTGGAAATACATTAACTGAAAATATAATCAACTTAATCCAACAAGTTTATCTGATATTCTTTTTTTTAAACAAAATTCTAATATTTTCATGGTATATACTAAATAAAACCCATATTATATAGTCATATGTGACATATTATAAGGCACAAATTTATCATTTAGCTATTTAAAATTAATTTTCATGGAAGAAAATTAATCAAATCAGTTAAATCAACTTTAATCATTTAATTTAATCAGTTAACTAGTTACAAAAATCTTAACTGATTAGAATTACTAAAATCAATACTTGCAGTTATTTAATAGTTAAAGATCAAAACAGTATGAATACCTTTTTAATATTGTGAAAAAAGAAAGCTAGAAGATTGCAAAGTTCAAACAATAATAATCTTTCTTGATGTTTTGCATCAACTTCAAAAATTTGTCGAACATAATCATCCTCCTCTAGCAAATAAATATTTAATATGTTTATATAGATTTTTGTATCTTGATTTAATGAAAATAAAATCTTTTCACCCACATTTATCTATTTCTTTCAAGAAATTTTAACTAGATATTGTTAGATTTATAACTAATTTTATTAATAGTATACAATAGTTTAAAGCATTATGACTTCCTTATTTCTGATGAATTAACTATTGTGCATGTCATCTTCTTGCAAATCAACCTGATTTTTATTGAATGTGATTAATTCAAGAAATTGAAAAACATAGTCATAAAGTAATAAGATTTATTAATAAAAATATGTAATCAATAAAATAATATTATGACAAATATAAAAATAAATTTATTTAAACAATATGTATATAATTCATTAGAAGATTTTATTATAATCATCAAAAACTTCTAATAAATATAAAATATTCATAACTAAATTAATATTATATTTACCTTTAGATATTCTTCTATCTGAAGTTTCATCTGAAACTTAACTATATTAGGATGCAGCCAAAAAATATATACAAGAAAATTATAATTACACATGAAATCAGAAAATATGCAAGACTTTCTTATCGATAAAATGAATACATATAGGAAAGGATTAATAGAACAAGTAACTAAGTATGCTGTTAAGAAACAAAAAAAAGTTATTAATATATTAGTGAAACTATAATGCAATAAATTAATAATTTGGACAATAATATTATTTTAAATATTATTTTTGCTGAGTTTTTTATTATTTAAAATTTTATAATATAAATCATATGAAATATAAAGCATTCTGATTGGTCAAATTAATGATTATGTTATAAGATTTGTGCAGTATACAAAATAAGATGACTTGCTAATTAATATGCCAAATAATAGTTATTTGATATTTTCATTAAGCTAAAAAATGACTTGTTCATATATATATGATAATTTTGTGATACCATACCTATATTTGTAATAATAATAACAAAAAATTTGTATAATACAAATAAATATATATGTAAAACATTTTTGGATCAACAAAAAATATAATTTGCAATAAATAATTAATGTACATAAAAAATTTTTGATCAATCAAATAATTATTCCTTTTAAGCAAATATTATATTATGTATTTATTTTTATATACATATATTGATATGTTTGGTTTTGAGCAAATGGTATATTAATTAAATTATTAACAAAAAAAATATATAAAGTCATTTATTTTTCAATTATATAAAGTCATTTATTTTTTAATTTTGAAACAATTATATTATCAATGACTTCTATATCTGAATATTCTGTATTTAATGAAATTCAAAGCTCTTTTGAGAGTGAATTTTCAAAGCAATATAATTATTAATAATACAATGATAATCAAAAATAATGCAATGCAAAATTGAAATTATTAAATCGTGATATCTTTACACAGACTTGAGAATATAAATTGTAGTTAATAGATTTAATTAAATATATATAAATAACTTTAAATATAATAAATTCAACATGGACTATTAAGTCAATTATTTCACAATCATAATATTTATTCAATTTTTAGTGTTGCATTATATTTGCTCATTTTTAATAAAATTTATATAATCTTTAATATAAAATAAAAACATTATATTTTTTTTATTTTTAATTATATCTGATATATTATTATTTAGTATAATCACCATGTGCTTTTATTATATCACAAATCCTTTCTGGCATAAAACAAATTAAATTTATACAATGATTCACATCAATTACCTTCCAGACCAGCTAAATTTTTTCTTACAAGTCTTTTATATCCAAAATTAATCTAGAAAGATATCAAAGATAACAATCTGTTTTATTCAATAAATATTCAATTGGATTTAGATTGGATAATTGTGCTAGCCAATCTAAAACAGTAATATTATTATCAAACTACTCTTTCATCAAATTTGTCATATATTTGGAATTATTATCCTGTTAAAAAATTTCTTATTGATAGTAAATTCATATTCTTTAATACCATTTATAAGATCTTCTTCAAGAATTTATCAATATAATATACTATTCATATTTTTATCAATCTTATAAAAGTTGTTAATATCATGATATGTGAAATAATTACTTGTCCATTATCAAATTTTATCATAGATTTAATATAATGACATTTTAATAACTTGTCTCTTCTTTTTTAATAGTATTGTTTTTTATCAGATCCAAAAATCTGAAATTTAGATTTATCAATTATCTTTGATCAATCTTTATATATGCAATTTTTATATTTTTTGATAAACTCAAGATGATATTATTGATATTTGGGCTTCAGATATTATTTTTTTTGTTTTATTCTTGTTATTAAATCATTTTTTAATATATAATGAATATTATGTTTTGAAATTTTGATATTTTCAGTTTCTTGAAGATGATTTTGGATGATAATAGCAGTAGAACAGTCACAGACTATAATAAAATGAATTATTATTCTTTTTAGCCAGTTATTTAATAGTCATGAATGACCAGGCATACTTATATCATTTAAAATGTACTGTTCATGCCATTTTTTTATTGATATGTGAGATGATAAAAGGATTAATTTTATGAGTTCTGCTATTTCTCTTGTGGTGTATCCATTTTGAAGTGAAACAATTATTTCAGCTCTTTCTTCAAGAGCTGTATGGCATTTTGATATTTGTTATTTATTTTGTGACTTCTATATAGAATTACTTACTATTTGATCTCTTGAAATTAAAGATTAAAAGAAATGCAATACTCATTTTTGTGGGTTCACGTATTTATTTAAAATTATGTTTAATAATAGTAAAATTAAATTTTAATAAATTAAACTGGTACTATTTATGTACCATATTTCTTAATTTTATACTCGAGCCTGGATTTGGACCAAGTTATTAATAAAACTCGATTTTTAGAGCAAAGTTAACCAGACCAGACTTTTAACATCTCCAGTTACAGCTTTCATGTGCAATATCTCATGACATGATGATCAAGAATATCACTATTTGATTCATCATAATTAAACATCACATTAGATGAGGATCCACGTGAAGCATTATTGAAATATGCCACGGTATCTGAAAGTATATTGATTTCTCTTTATTTGTTTTCTTTTACTTTGGTTATATATATATATATATATATTCGCAATGAAAAAATTAAACAATTAAAATGTTTCATATTTTTTATCCGATCCAAAATGGATAGGAACAGGTAAGGTTAAAACACACAACTTTCAGTTATTTGTTTTCGTCAAGTTAATTGTATTTATTTATTGCTTCATTTAATATTCATTTAAAAAGCATACAAACACTCACAACCAGTTCCGATTTTAGGAGAGATTACTGGAGACTACTGGAGAGGAAGAGGAGGAATAAAAACGTAAAATTATCTAATTCAAATATTTGGTTGCTTAAAATAGAACCTATTTATTTTTAATTAATGATAAAAAATTTCCTTGTAGAATAATTTCCCATCACAAATATGCCATATTAATATTGCCATTCTAAAGAAATTAAGTGATCTATATGAATATTTTTGATTAGTGAAATTTCAACTCCAAATAATTTTGTTCATACCCTTAATCTGTAGCCACACATATTTGGCGAACTCGTTATTTTATTTCCACATATTATAATTTTAGTGAAAACGTGTTAAGCTGTGTGTCTTAATCTGACTGGTCGGCCAGGTGACAGTATAACACTGAAAGCATTAACTGACATATAGCGCATATAATGAGTAATAAAGTAGAGCTTGCTTAGTTACGAGTTGTGTGATATGAAAATTTGATTAATGAAAGGCATTCGGGTTCAGGATTTTGGACGTCAGATTTTTAATAAAATTCTTTGGATATATTGAATAGTAAATATTTGTTAAATTTTCACTAATAGACCTGGACCATTCATAAGCGTTGAGTCATTTTATTCCGAAAAATATATTTTCTGTTATCGATGACTTGTTAGTTTACAATAAATTAAGTTTTATATTACGTTTTGAGAATTTTAACTTACTTGGTACATGAATACTCTGTTTTCACCACAATTATGAACTGTAAAAAATTCTCATCTACTTCCATAGTCAACATAGGCATTGGGGCAGTTGTTGTGGTCGTATTTCTCTCAACATGAGCCCACACTGTGGAACGTGTTAATAGAGTATATATAACAAATTCACGATGAAAAATTATTAATATTTTTACGGATAAAAACTAGATTCTATTGTGCTTTATTCATTTAACGTATCCATTTTAAGAAAAGTGAGTGCTGTAGACATTTGTATGTGCATGTTTTTTTCAACAAATTAAGCTTAACTTTCTTGTGCAATAAGAGAATGCAAATAACTTGATCACCTAACAAGTAAAAACACTCAAAAAAAGAGAAAACCTTTTACGAATGGAATTTTATCATATGAGAAAACCAGAATAGAATAAATTAGAATTCCATGCGCTAAGTATGTATGTGAAGAACAAAACAAATTCTTACACAGAAAGTTTGAGTCTTCACTAATTTTAGTGGCGCATTTTCATCGTCTTTAACACATGTAAATAAATTATTAAAGTTGGTTTTAGCGACGTGGTTGAATCTTTTGTTATTCCAGTGCATGTACTGTACTTACCAAGAAAATGATTAAATTTAAAGAAAAAATCAATAATCTTACTTGTAATAACAATATGTTTTCCGGTACAAATTTATTATCGCTACACTTTGAAAAACGAGGATCGGCGGAAAGCAACTTACTATAATCCGATCGTTAGGATCGTGCGGACAGGAAAATTCTGATTCAGATTTTTATATGCGCGTTAAATAAATCACAATGGGGCAATCCATCAAATCCAAATGTTAACCCGCTTTGTGGGAAAAAATTATTGTTCATGGACCATTAGGATCGGTCACTGTGACAGTACAAGATGGTTGTCCTAATTGTAGTTTTGGATTTAACTTTGACCGCTTTTAATAAAATCGGTGATTCTAATGCTGGTTTCGTTCAATAGCATGGAATTGGCGGTGGTGAGATAGCGTCTCTTCCGCAAATCTAACAACTTTTGCTATTTCTACAAAAAATTTATCCATGGAAACCACCAATAAAAGATCAACCATTATCTAGAATCTCCCAGCTATTCTTTGATGGGATCGTTGTATCAAATCTTCCTTCATATTCTGGAATTGGAAAACCTTTAAATCAAAATCCCTGGGAAAAGCTAACGTTGATCTAGTGACTTGACTACGATTACAATAGTTGCAACAACACCAACAATTAAAATAAAGAAAAAAGCAAAACATCATGGTAAAAAGAACAACAGCAAACAAAATTTCTAATAAAGTTGATTATTCCTTCTTAATAATCAATGTCAACTTTTTTGAAAATGCATCTATATGCTTCAGAGAAATCCATCTTCACAGTGAAATTAAAATCGGTAGATAATGAAAGTTTTCATATAACCAGTAGACATCATTTGTAAAATATAATATTGTAAAAACTTAGATATTTATATTCACATTATAGAATAGGTTCTTCCTAATTTTTATGTTCTAGATATGTCATCCCAATATTTTTAACATAGATAGATCTATTATATGAATAAGGATATATAATGTTAGAAATTTATGTTAATAATTTTAAAATTCTCCTAACATCGATTCTTGAATCTAACGCCAATCCTTGTCAACGGAATAAATCCGATATCAAGCACGAAACCGTCTTTTCATAAAGAAGTGACATGCCACACATTGCGAAAAAGTGTAAAGCGTGTGACAATAAAGAGAAGAGATAAATCCTTAGTATTATTATTGTGAGCGTGAATTAAAAAGAATATATCTCTCTCTCTTAATTACACGATACACCAATAAAATACAAAATTGTTTACGGATATTTATCATTCTTCGATCTATTAAAAACTGCGTTTTTTATCGGCACTTTACTATGTAAATTTCGATCAATTTTCTAAAAGGAAATGTTTAGATTATTAACAATAACATGCATTTTTGATTCAATTTGAAAAATTTGTTCCCCACTACACTACAAAAAATCCACCATAAACAAAATGCTAGTTTAGAGATTGATTCTCTGTACAATCATCATAAAAGCAAAATTTTTGCTATTTGATTGAAAAGCGGCAGTCGTATTATAACGATTCGATCGTACGTTTGTTCTTTGATAAATTCCTATCGCTAAGGAAAACCTGTATTACCGTTACGCATTTTCTAAATCGGAAAGGTCACATGGATTAGGTGATAATATAATCATCATTCATATCGATATCGATATCGATATAGAAATTCCATGTATCAATGGTTTGTAACCATTTCTTGGCAACCAATTCATTGCATTCTTTTATTAACATTATAGTGTTGATATCTTTATCTCCGCTAGATAATTCATCGTTATAAATTCGCTTGTGTTATTTGAAACAGTCTTCGCAGGACTTATTTTCTTGACAATGAATACATTTGCTACAATCATGAGTACACAGTAACTCTCTTTATAGTGTAACAAAAAAATTTAATAATAAAAAATTTTCAAAAATCCACTATATCGAGAGTTTATTAGTAAATTTACTATATCGAATGGATTTTATTAAAGGTAGTTTTGGATATTATCCACTATATCACGAGTTTAATTAGTCTCCACTATAAAGGAGGTACACTATAAAGAGAGCCACTGTGCATTGTGAACTAAACACTCATCACAGCATTTATTGTATTGACAAAGCCGAAATTCATTTTTGAGTTCACTTTATCGTTATCATTATAAAAATACGGTATACATCTACTGTACATGTATCATTATCATCGAATATTCATTTATAATTGGATTTTTAGTTATTCCATATTGAATCTAAATCAATTTTTGAAAATTTGTATCAGAAAACAGATGCAATTTTCTCTTTAAACAATGTTCATTATTTTACCTCATTTATGAACTCCGAGTAGTTTGATGATTTCAACACAACTTCACATACCCATATCGTTTAAATCTATTTTCTTCGTGATCTACTTTGTTTCGTAATCCAATGATCCATCCAACGAGGTTGCTTTATAAATTGACCCAAAACCGTCCTTTGTAAGATATTCAACGTTGGCAAATCTTTCAAAAGGAATTCACTCGAATACATTATACTAATTAATTTTGTTGTATTTTTTATTAGATTGTTGATATCTAGAAACTTTTTTGTTATAAATCCGTTTGCGATAAGAGAAACAGCCATCGCAGTACTCATTTTTTGACAATTAATACATTTACCTATAATCATGAACAGAGATGTGCCTATGCGCATAGTTACTAACCGATATCGTAAATGCCAATACACAATTATGCATATGGTTAAGTTCATAAATCATCACCAATTAACGACGCGACTTTAAGGTATTTGTACTCAATAAATAATGATAACCAGAAAAATCAATGCATTTATACAGAACATACGTATAACGATAACATCTACATCTTTATTATTGTACATATTTTATCATTATGGCTTCTCGAAGCTCTATATGGGAACAGTTTAATCAATTGGTCATATCCAGAAATTGCTAATGCAAGTTCACTCAATGCTAATTCGCCTGGAAGTCAACTTATGCAATACAAAGCAAAATCAGAGCTTTTCAGCAATACATTAGCATGGAAGTGCATTGATAATATTGATCCAATAACTTGGTGGATTGCGAATTTTGTACAAGCAATACCTGAATTAACACAATTGGCATGATGTGTCTTAATAATTCCAATATCATCTGCAGCTTCTGAATGTAACTGGTCAGCTTTTACAAATATTCATAACAAAAAAAGAAATCAGTTAAATACTAAGCATATTTTTAAATTAGTTTATATTTATAGTGATTATAAATTACAAACTTCTCCAGATAATCAAAAAAAGTATTAATGATGAAATAAGTATCAATCAATATTATGCTGGTAATGAGAGTGATGAAAATGAATATCAGAATAATAATGAAAGTGAATATCAGGATGGTAATGATAATTGAACAATTTAATATATCAGATAATAGTGATGATATATTAGAAAGTGATAATTGATAAATGTATATAATAATTATATAAAATAAAATCATCATTAGTTTTTATGAATTTGCATCATGTATTTGATTACTGTATGTTGATACACTGTAGCATGGAATTGGACACATCATCATGTAGATCCCAATCTGCATAATATTGGGCATGGGATCAGATCTCATGATTAGTGAAATTAGCAATGTATGGGATTAGTGAAGTTAGTATATGCAACCAGGATATAGTGAAGCAAAGCCTCAGATTGATGCATTATTAGAGAAGATGAGGAAGATGATCTGATATGGAGTACACTAATAAATCCTAAATATATAAAGGTATACCAATTATTCTTGGTGATGCAGGAACATGGTGAGAATAGTGAGAGGAAATTTGATTATAAATAAAGAGGGCTTTAGAGTAAAAAAGCAAAATAGAATTACAATTAAGAATTAAGTTTAATAGAACTATAAAATAATTTACCATTGTATAAAAGTTTTTATTAAATAAAATAAAGATTATTATTATTCTTAAAAAAATGCATATATTTCTTTGAATTATTATTGATCTGTCTCCATACTCTATTAATAAAGTAATCTAAGGCTATGAATGCTAAATAATGAAACTACAACATCATGACCAACGAATTGTCTTAGACAGAAACTAGTGCCATAACTTGGAGAATCCAATCAACTCGATAAAGGGTTGGAGTATTGATCAATGAAATTATAAATTAATTAACAGAAAACTAATTGGAAAACAACCCGTGACCAAATAGTCTCACGGATTACTCAGTAGATCTCCCACATCTATTCCACCGGGCAACAATGTACAAGTAGATCATTATGCGTATTACATAGTGATGTACTATGCGCCTATCTCTAGTCATGATGATTTCCGGAATTGCTGATTTTAATGAAATAATTGTAACAGTACCCATAGAAAGTATCATCCGATTTGAAATTATATATAAAATTTTTTTCATGATTTTATAATTAAAACAGTTCTTGCATCTTAAGTCATCCACAGCTAGGAATCATTTTTTGCTAAAATGGTATAAAAATTAGAAATAATTATTATGAATATGTGTATAGCTTGAAAATTCAATTTTTTTATATGTAAAGCGTGGGAAAATATTTTTTCATATAAAAAAGTGGGAAAAAATTTTTCCTTTACGATCAAAATGGTCCTTGCACTTTAAGTCGTTCACAGCTGGGAATCATTTTCTAAAATATAATTCATGAGTTTTAAAATGATATAAAAATTTAGAAACAATTACTAGAAAAAACATGAATATGTATATAACTTGAAATTTTCCATTTTTGTATATGTTTTACTATATAATTTTGAAACGGGTGATACTTTTTGTGGGTACTGTCACTGATAATAAAAAAGTGCAGTATTAAGCTGTATTGCATAGCTTAATGCAAGCCAATCAAATGATTATTTTATACATGTATTGAATAACACCAATTTTTTACATGTAAACTTCTTTCAAATTAAAGAAAATAAATTCATTTTTCTATCAGTTTGTAAGAGAATTTTAATACAACCATTTGTTTCCAAGTTATAATATTGTTTAGGATCAAAACTTATCGTTATATTTTCGCGCTTGAAAGCAGTCCATTTGCTGGCACGAATGGTTTTTGTGCAAAAACGACATGCAATAAAAATTAACCTCTTATTTAGAAGTATTAAGTAAAGAAACTATCTTCATTCCACCTTTCAATAAGATTCGTGACTTTAGAAAGTAACATTGAATGTATTTAAGTATCGGTTCAGTCAATTTTGTAATTTATGAATGGATGAATCTTCCCGTTTATTGTCTTCACGATTTTTTTTTACATAAATCTATGATTGAAATACATTTGTATAACGAAAAATTGATATTACCAGACCATAATGCACGTAATTTATCATCTAAAAATTACCTTATGTTTCTCCAAATTTATTTGGTAGGTATTAACGTTAAGTGAAGCCTTATCGTTACGAATTTGTAACTTGAAAAAAAGCTGTACGTGTACAATGGGAATAGAATCCAATCTTTTTCGAATGGCAAAATTTTGAAATGTTATAATGGTATTTTACATGATATAATTATAAGAGGCAAATTTATAAAAATACAAAATTTATAAATATGACAGAAACATATAAAATTGTTTTGGCCAAATTACAATCTAGTCAAAGCAACTATCATTTGGTTAAGTATTTTGTTTGTATATATTTTATTTTTTCTAAAATTATAAAGCTTGACGCAAATAACTTAAAAATGGATGTTTTTATGATGTCCCCACTATGAAAATGCATGCATAATGACGATAATTCTCTTAACATTATTATTTTCTTCTTAACGTTATCTAAAACATGTCGACGTCTTCTTGAAATTGATATATTAGCATCGAATTTGTAGCTATAAAATTAAGCGGTGTGTAATGTAATAAGAATTCATTATATAGCAATTTACTAATTAACTTTAACTATTTTAGCGTATGAAGTTAATATAGCATGTTATGGTACGGGACTACATGTAATAAATAATTATTATTAAGTATCCATATGATTCTTGACGCGCAGGATTGTTAATTTGAAACTTACATAAAACAGCAAAGTTTATTTTCATTTTAAACCATATTAGTGCTTAATTTATGCATAGCATATATGCGAAAATACCGTACGTTATTAAATATTCTTTCGAAATATCTTATGAACAGATAATGTGCAAGTAATTTATCAACAAATTCAATAAAAAGTTTAAAATATATTTTTCTTGCTTCCAATACAACATTTCTCATATTATACACGTGTGTAATTCCTTTCTTTAAAATATTTGAACTTATGCTCCTTTCAAAAAAAAAGCCATTTTTGAAATTAATAAAATTTGCAAAACATCGATAGTAACGCGTTATTAATGTCATGTAAAGCATATTAAATGGTTAGAGAATAATCCGCTAAGTATGACTTTAATCATCTTCGTCAACTTCAACACATCAGTTCTACGTTAGATCGTAAAAATAAGTAGAATATATTGCTGTTGCATATTGTTTACAATCCAATGTATTTCTTCTTATTCCCCATGTTTTCCAAACCGATTTTTTTGCTGTTTCCTACTCACTTTCTAAAAGAAAGTAATTTCAATATCCTTTGTAATTAAAAGGCCAGATTTATTGTAATTTATCCAAATACGTGCGTGCTAGATCTTTTTTGTGTATGAAATTACTTTTATTTAACGAAAACCATGTTTGAGTTCTATTTATCATTTATCAGAATTGTTTTTCATGCAGATGAAATTCTAGTCATTCCTAATTTTGAATATTACTCTTTATCTATACCACACCCTCTCATTTGATTTCTATACTCGTGACGATGTTCAAAAAACATTTTATGCATGCGGCGAATATGCCATCCGGGTGGACACAAGTACTTAGGATCGATATTTTCGACATCCATTTGTGGCCATTGTCTCCTCGTAATTTCTCGATTCTCGTCGGGTGGAGATAGAAATGACGTGTCGATCTTAAGTTCAGGAGCAGAAAATTTTTCATTTATATTGTTATTGCACACATTGTGTCTTGATTCTATTTTTGTTGGTATGCACAATGAAGTAGAAGAAATAAGAGAATCAAATTGCTCTTGCTGCTCCAGTTCTTGATCTCCCTTTTTTTTGTGTTCGTGATCATTGTCCATCTCACAATCGATTAAAAACATTTGATATTCCATTAAGTAATCGTGTTCATCAATTTCATTGCTGTTGTTATCGTAAATAGCATAATTCTCTTCCTCCTTCACGAAAGAATATTCTTGTTCATTTGTCTTTGAAGATTTGAATTTAACGCCGGGTTTGTTTGCTTCCGAAGCGAGATCTATAATAATCGATTGTTCATTTTGCGATGATATATACAGATCACGCTTTCTGTTCGGCGAATCGAAGTTTCTTGTGTTAGATTGTCCATCATTATAATAAATCAATTGAACCTGATCTCTCTCAAAATTAATTCTCTTTCTATTTTCTACTTCCAAAAGAGAAACCGTAGGAGAAGACGTCAGCGCTGACGTAGAAATAGAATTGGTGCCCAAGCTAGAGTCTTCATCGTCTATTTCATTCCGAACACGTATCCGTTTTTTTACACGAGTCAATCTTTTTAAACTATAGTTGTCATTGTTTTCGAATTCATCTTTAAACATAAATTTCCATAGGAAACAGAAAAATATAAAAAACGCGAATAAAGATAGTATGATTAAGCCGTAGACATGAATTGGAGTTTTTTCAATCATTTTTTTTAGCTTATAAATGTATAAAATAAGAAATTTTGTAACTAGTCTTAAGTATCTATTGAAAATTTTGCAATAAGCTTATTTATTATTTTCTCCGTCAGTTTTAATTTATTTTAATAAAAAATAATTAAAATAAATAATACAATAAACTGTATGCAAGCAGGAGTTATATACATGTATTTCACGTATATTGACATATATCACTTAAAATAAAATAGAAGGGCAAAAAAAGGAGCCATAATAGACAATAATATAATTTTCATTGTGCCATTTTTATTTGATTTAATTCATGCTTTTATGCAATATATTTGTGCATGTTTTTAGGTTGATTGGATGATTGATCAAACTGTTATTTAATATTATTCAGATTAAATGATGAATCTAAATTAAACGACCTAAAACTTTATGTAAAGTGTATTTTATCAAGTAAATTTTATTAATTAACTGGAGGATAAAATCATTTAAACACCACTTGATATATTCAATGTTTACAATGGTTATTAAAATTTAAAAGGCTGCACATCTAAAAATTTTCTCATTGTTATGCTCACCTTTCGAATTTATATATTCAAAGCTTATACTAGAATCCATCTTAGTGTATAGACACTGAGATATGAGGGTGGTAAAAGACCAATTATACAATATAACTGATTTTTAATAAATATAAGTAATACCTTATTCTCAGTAAAAAGATAAAGTATTAATTTAAAAAAACATAATCATTAATAGAATGAAATTCTTCATTATTATTTTGCCAATATTACAAATAAATATTATAATTTTAATAGTTTATTGTCACGAATTTATACTTGTTATTTACATTATATTCTATTTATTTCTAGTACATACTGCAAAATATTTCTTATTTATAACAAGAATTACGCTTCGATATAGATATAATAATTCTAAATGTAATAAACTCTTGCAAAACAAACAATCTAATGAATATAATAAAAATCTCACTACTTTATTAATATTATTTATATATACTGTTCTGATAGAAGTATTTTATAATATACAGTATATATAATTGAAGCTTTATATTTTATAAATATTAATATTTAATTTAATTTAATCATCTTTATTAATATTTATTCAATAATTTTATTTTTTAATTAAAAATTTGTAAATTGTTCTTGTTATCTCTTAATATAAGATTTTTTAATATAAATTTATCTTTAATTCTTTATATGGTGCGGGAAATCTTAACTCGCCAATAAATTACATAATATTTTAAGACTATTAGAGCCTTTAATAAATTAAATTTTAAAAAAATAAACTGATAATAATATTATTTAAGATATATATTATTAAATTACTAATTAGAATTTTAATTAAAGTTTTAAATAAAAAAATATAAACATTTTAAATTAGATATTTATTATATATTTTAATCAGAATTAAAAAATATTATATAATTTTTTAATAATATAGAACTTATTTTATTAATTATAATAATGTATTATATATAAATAATTTTTATTAATTTATTATTAGATCTAAGTTATTAAAAAAATTAATTATATCTAAATATTTTAAGAAATATTCATTTAATTAATATTTATATATTTATATAAACTTTTAAGAAAGAATGAAAATTTATTATATTATTAATTATATTATATATTATTACTTAATATCTACTATAATATTAGCTATATTATATAATATATCATATTACATTATATATATAAAATCAAAATAAATTTATATAATTAGTAAGTTAAGATTTCTAATATCATGTTTCTTTTTTATATTTAATACTCCAATATAAGTAATTTTTCTTTTTTCTCTTTATTTTTAATATTATTAAAATGAATTATAAAAAGTTTTGTATTAACTGAAAGATTTATAATTTATTATAAATTAAATTATAGCTTGATTTAGATTTAGCTTCTATATTAAACTGTATTTTAATAATATTTAATTTATAAAGATAATATTATTATTTTTTTAATTTATAATTGAATTAATATAAAATAAAAAAGATTTATCAAGAATTAAATTAAATTTTTATATTTTTAATATTTGTATATTCATCTTATATATAATATATATTTAATTTTAATTTATTAATTTTTTATTATAATAGTAATAATTATTTATAAGTTTAATAATTATAGTATTAGTTTTCTGAATTTTAACTTTATTCTTTTATATAAAGCTTTTATTGGTAAAGTTTCTTGATATTCTATTATCTAGTAATATTCAGGCTGATTTTGCTATTATTTAATAATCAAATTTGAATAATTATCTTCTAAATATGTAAATTTAATTCTTTTATTTTAATATAATGCTTCTTAAAAGTTTTTTATATTTATAATTTTGACTTTTGATTTAAAATAATAATTTTTGTAAAGTATTTTAACTTTTTATAATTATAATATATTTCTTTAAACTTATTATTTTTTTTAATTTTTCTTATAAGAACTTTTTACTTAATTTAGTTTTATTAATATAGAACTATTACTTTAATTACTTTAATAACTTCTATTCTGATATTAATATGAGTAATTATTATATTTACTTTAAATATTTACTAATTTATTTTATTTATATATAGTAATATTATAGTAAATAACTAATTTTCAGATATTTTTAAGATTTCTAAAACTTAATAACTAAATTTTATTTTTATTTTTATAACAAATTTTATATAATAAAATTAATAGATTAGTTTATAAATTATACTATATTATATTATTATATCATATATAATTTATTATATTATAATTATTTAATAATATTAAGAAAATTTATATAATTATTGAGTTATTTTTGCTTTAAAAGATATTTTTTATAAAAATTATATTATTTTTTATTTTATAAAAATAGCTAGATATATTATTCTTTTTTTATTTATAATATTTATTATTATTATATATATATTAATAAGAATCTTTTGGAAATATTATTATATAAATATTTATATATTATAAATTATTATTAATCTATATAATTCTAAATTAATTATTTAAAGATACTATTTTTATTTTATATTTTAATAACTTATAATTATAATAAAATTTTAAGTTTTAATAATAAAATTCTATTTATTTTTTACTTAGTTTTTTATGTGAATTCTAACTTAATTACTTTATAATTATTTTGAAATTTTGTATAATATTGCAAATTATATTCATGAAAGTAGATTTTATCAGAAATATTTTCTATAATAAGTTTTTAAGGGTGAAGACTGAATTATTTATAAGATAAAGAGAACTATAATTATTCTAAAAGTTTTCAAATACTAATACTTGCAAGTATTATATCAATATAAGATAAAAATAAAATAAAATAAAGAGAAGTTATGATTATAAAAACTAAACTAAATAATAATTATTATAACTAAACAAAAGATTTAGTATACTGACTAATCTTTCTAATAATATCTTTTCAATTATTAAATAAATAAAGAGTATATATCAAAAATAAAATAAATCTTTTATATATAAGAAAGCATATAAAAATCTTCTAAATCAAATAAAATATACTTGACTTATTTTAAGTAGAAGAAAATAACTAGAAAAATAATAAATATTATAAATATAACTTCACTTACCAATTTATTCTTAAATTTTATTCACTATATAAGATGCAATAATAGCAAGATAAATTGGAATTTCTAAAGCAAACTGGAACTATAAAAGAATATGTAAATTAATTCATAGAACTTTAAAGTAAAGTAGAACAGGTCTATTCAAAAGAATATAAGATTTAAATTTTTAAGAAAGATCTTAAATCTGAAATTCAAAAATTAGTTAATCTTAATGCTAAAGATATAATAGAAAGTATTATTAAAATTACAAAGAATGTGAAAGAAACTGATTCAGATCTACTCAAATAAATCTATTATTAAACTCAAGCCCAACCAATTACTGAATAAAATGCTCTAGTTAAGATTCTGCAAGATCTGATCAGTAAGTTAGACCATATAAAATCTGATAAAAGATACAATAATCAGAATAATAATAGTAATCAGCAACAAAATTAGTTAAGAGACAGATCTATCATTATCTTTTATAGTTGTAAAGAAAAAGAATATATCAGTAAAATTTGTCCAAATAACTTTCAACCTATAAATCAACAATCTAATAATCAAAATACTTCTCAAAATTAGAATAATCAAAATCAGAATAACAATAATAATAATAATAATTAGCAGAATCAGAATATCTAAAATAATAATCAGCAATCTAATAATTCATAAAATCTAGATACTACTTCTCTTCTCATTCAAATTCAGAATTTGATAGCTACTTTATAAGTATCTGATAATGATTCATCTAGTAATTCATCTACATAATCTAGTTTCTTATTACTAGTAACTTATAATTATCTAACTAGAGAAAGAAAATAAACTAGAATTATCAAAGAAGAAGAAAAAAGTGAAAAAGAAAATAAAGTTACCCAATCTTTATTCAAAGTATCAGAAGAAGACAAGATCAATTTGAAAAAGAAGAAATAAAAGAAAGAAAGAGTATATCTTTTAATCTTAGCAAAGAAAACAGAAATTTATAATATACTTGAAGATTTAGTATTCTAGAAAGTCAATATCACTATTACTAGTGATAGAAACTACAACTAGCTGTAACTCTATTATAATTTTCTGATTGGCTGTCATAACTCTATCATAATTCTCTGATTGGCTGCTATAAGATATAACTAGTTGAGAAGTCATCTTTAATCATTACTTAACTTATTAAGATAATATCTAAATAGAGAATTTAAATATCAAAAGAAATAAAAAAAAATTACAGAAAAAACTTAAATAAAAAATTATATTCATTTAAAAGATCAAAATAATCTCAGTCTGATGTGAAGTCAAAGTTAGAAAGATTTCTATTAATTTAATTGTTAATACTGGAACATCTGAATATGTTATTAGTTATAAATTTCTTAAATAACTAGGAATAAAGATTCAACAAAAATCAAATATCTCTATGTCTAATATTAATAGATATTTAAAGTAATTATTAAGAGTAATCGATAACTTTTCT